GGACAAAACTCATCATAGAGAAGAATAATTCACCAAAATAATCTTTGGTAGACAAAAAATACTCTATAAAAAAGACTAAATGGATCATATCAATAGCAGAGCAGGTTTCCATCCAATCCAATTCTCAAAATATGGGTCATTTTGTTATTGAGGCAATTACATACAGACCACCCGAAACATTATTATTTACCAATCAAGCATCCTCTTTCATCCATTTTTCAAATTCTCGCTCAAATATCAAAATTTATGGTAAAACCTCAACCCATACTTTTCATTTTTACCAAATTCTCAAAAGTTTGATCTTGTCATGCATAAATACATCGGTTCAGTAGTTCAAAAAAATTACCTTGGCGCTTAATTTGTAAATATCAATATTTTGGGTGGTCTGTATATAATTATCCCTTTTATTTTATTTTAAGAAAAAAAACCATCTCCAAAACATTAAAAATTTCTCCTTTTAGGATTTAGGGGCTGTTGGGGATACTATTTCTAGCAAGATTTAAGAACATAATTTTGTAGATTATAAATTCTATTCTGTCTCATTATTCGTTAAATTCATGATTTGTTGAACCTCATCATTCATGAAATCTAATGAATTGAAGAACCTCTCCCTTTTACAAATCTTAAACACAAATAGCCAAACAATTTATGTGCATTTAGAAAGTTCTAACAACTTTCACGCAAAACAGCTTTCAGTTCTAATTCTCTCAGAAAGTATTAAATTTGGATTAACAATAGTTACTGAATCAAACTCCAATTAAACCCTAATTGAAGCCAAGAAAAAGCCACTTCATTTCGCTTCAGACAGAGAAAACCCTCTCCAATTTCTAATAATCTCACAAACTAAAACACCCAATGGACCACAAAACCATAATCAGCAACAGAATTCAAAACAAATTTCAATAAATTCACCTGAAAATCTTTGGAAATGACATCATCATGAAAGCAGACATGATTTCCACAATTGCAGCAGTTATAAAGTCGGGGACCAACTAATTCAGCCATAAGAACTCTCAGCCCTTATCCCTCTCCTGTCACAAATCAGTCAAGATAACAAGTATTTCGAAATCGGGCCAAAATCTAGCAGAATAATGAATGCATCAATAAACCGAAACCCTAATACCAAATTGCAGAATCCTCAACTTACGCCAAGTAAGAAAGAAATAAACAACTAACTGTGGATTAAAATAATGTGAAAAGGAAGCTTCGTCTTCCGATTTCTCCTATCTCCTCTTCCCTGCTCGAAAAGGATCCGACGGACTGTTATCCACTTGTGAAGTCTGTAAGGAGGCGGAAAGGGAACGTGAAATAGGAAGAAGAAGAAGAAGACGATAATGGCGAAAGAAATCAACAAACAAATAAATAAATAACTTAGAAGAAAAACCACAATCGGGAATCGAGAAAGCGTGGAATGGAGGAGAAAAAAAGCTGTGGCTGAAAGTGACGGAGTTTCTGCGCCACAGAGAAAAACAGAGGCGCCCCCTGAAACTTCATTAATTAATTATTTATGGTGTCTGTTAAACTTTAAAAATTATTATTATTATTATTATTATTATTATTATTATTATTATTATTATTATTATTATTATTATTATTATTATTATTATTATTATTATTATTATTATTATTATATTTTTTTAAATAAAAATTCAACCTTAAAAAATTTTTTTGGGGATTAGATTTAATTAAATTTAAGTAGATTATTTAGCTATTTATTTTAACAATTAATAATTTATAGGATGGGAATATTTTGATATTTATTTATTTAAACAGTGTTAATTAAATTAAATAAATTATAATTAATCTAATTTGGCATTTCAATTGATGTTTAATTAATCATTTCTATTATTAATTAAATAATAAGTTATATTCAGACAAATAAAACTAATGCCAATTTAGTTGAGAGAATAAGTTCTTAATTCAGAGTATTTAATCAAATGAAATTACAAGTGATATTAATGTTTTTTTAGTAGGGAAATTTACACACCTAATGCTTTAAAGTTATAATCGCCAACTAAAGCTTCAAAAGGACTATATTGACAAACTTTTTTGTTTTTCAACTCCATGACACTCAGCTCAATCAGTTCATTAATGAGATGGACTACCTGAATATCTTTAATAACTCATTATCTATAATAAATCAATCTCTTACTATCTTTACGAGAAAGTCTATTTAGATCACCTTCTGTTGTTCATTATCCATACTCTTATATCCAACCCTTAAGTGAAGAACTTTCTTGATTCTTTTGGTCACATGCTAACTCTATGTCAAATTGTTTACACCTTTCATATGTAAGAAGAACTATCATGGCCACAGTCATCAAGTCCACTAATCCACCTTCATCTAATAGAGGACCTATTTGGCAATCGTTATTAGTTTCTACGACATATACACTATCTCCAATCACCTTCATCTTGTGTTTTCTCCACCTTTCATAATGACGCTGTCGTAGTTAAGTCAAGCCATCTCAATCTCCATGGAAGGCCAATCTAATCGCTTTTAGTAGCCTTTTGTGACTTTCATATGCCACCGTTTTATATTCTTAAAGTCATGTTATCTCCACCTTTAAGGAAGGAAAGGTTAGACCTTCCAATACTATTGTGTCATGTTATTTTCATTTATAAGGGAGTAACTTCTTTTAAGCTTCCACAAAATTTTTATACTATCTAATTGTAAACATCATATTGTGTCATTTCCACACCAAGAGAAGACTAACTTGGCCGATTTTAGTGGCCTCCACAACCTTCCATACCTCAACAATATTTGCTTTAGATCATAAACTCTCCAACTATAAGGACAAATCAACCAAATCACATTCAATAGACTTTTTAACTTCTTGTGATAACATATATTCATTTTTATATGATTTTTGGTCAACTCGACAACATTTTTGTGTCACTACATTGTCGTCTTCAATTATTTTATTTTCAACACCATAGGGGGTTCGATCAAGCCATAGTCAACAACATCTATGAATTTCCTTTTGTCACTACATAAATAACATCAGGTTATGCTGTCTCTACCTTTAAAAAATATTGAACTGATCATCTCTTAAAGCATTTATAACTCTTATGTATCGCTAAAAATTTTCTTCAAATCAAGTTATCTTAAATTTTAACAATGATTATCTCGCAAACTTCACTCAAGAATTTTTAATAACCTTCATATTCTTCATGCTCTACTTTGCTAGTCACCTCCAGGTCATGCCACTTTCATATCATGGAGGAAGCTTGACCCAACTAGTCATAAGTTTCATGTGTCATCTCATTTCCACCTATAATTCTTGTTATTTTTTCTCCTTTTATAAGGGTTCTATTAGTTTTTAATCTTATTATGTCATAAACGTCGAAGCTATAAACAATTATCCATTTTTATAATTTTTTTATATTTAAATTGTCTTCTTGTTTGAGAATGAGTGACCAATTACAACTCTTATATACTAAAATTATAAATTAATTTAATAGGTTTATTTTTATACATTTTTTACATAAAAAATTATGTTCCATGCTCATTTCATTTACTTATTTTATTGAGTGTGTAGACTCTAACTTATTAACTTTTTCTTAACATTTTGCAATCATATAAGTAAAAATTGTGTTTATATATTAAAAAGATTTCTTTAACTAGCATTATTTCTCCTCCACTCCCTTGAGACCATTTGAATATCATATTATTACTTGACATTTATAAATTATTGTAAAGAAAGGCGTGACATGATCCAATAATGTATCATGTGAGATTCCTTAGTGGAGAGTCCTCATGTAAATTGAACATACATTACAACCTTGGTTAGTAAAATAACTATTATAAAGGGACGAAGTCTTAAAATAATGAAAGAGCTAACAATCAACCTTATAATTCTTAGTTCAGTTGATTGTTGGCTTGGCATGTGAATTGCATCAACAGGATTGAAAGAGTAGACTTGATTTATGAGCTAAAAATCAACATGGATCTTAAGAGCACACAATGATAGAAAATTACTATCTTTCTTTGTAAGAGTTGTTTTAATACATTACTTTTAATAATTAAAGATTTTTTTTTTAAAAAAAATTTATTAGAGAACTTAGTAATTCATGAAGCATTAATAAACATTAAGCTAAGAGCATAGGTCAATCACTCTAATTCAAGATACATTAAAGCCATGATTCTAAATTGAAATTAGGATAAATAAGCCAAGCATGGACCTTCGGTGTTAAGTTGGGCATTCACCTTGAGGATTAGTTGATACTTTAATTGTTATGAGTCTCCAACATCATTTATAACTCTTTTAGAATACTTGAAAATATTAATTATTATTGTTAAAATTTTTACTTATATAGAGATTATTATCAGCCCAACTTAACTTTTGTTCCTTTTGCTTTTAAGAACAAAGAACCATTAATAAAAACTACTATAAATGAAGACAATTCATATATACAACAACATTTTTCTTCATTAGCATTATAGTGGTTTATTTGCAAACCCCACACCAAAAATAGTGCCGACATCAATATTCCACGTATTTAAGCACAAAGGGGTCAAAAACTTAGATCAATATTCCACAAATACTCGGTGTCTTCATCTTTTGGCTATTGAGGGAACTCAAAACTTAATTGAATGGTCATTAAAGGGGTGAAAGATCTTATAACAAATACAAATATATATATCTTTTCTAAAGCGAAGGGTGAAACTTTACAATCTTCAAGTTGTCAAGTTTTCATGCCCAACTTGAGGAAATACTAAAGTTGTATGAATCAAACTTGCTCATATGAAAGACAAAATTATAAAAATTGAGAGTCTAAACTTTCTTTACTAGGATAAAATTGAGACGACAAAAAATATTTGGTAAAGTAGAGCTCTCTAATATTAGCAACAAAGAGAAATGAAAAAAGTTGAGAACTTTAATACTTACAAAACTTCTATTCATCTTTGAGTTGATTGTTATAGATCTCTCAATAATTAATCTTTGAAAAAGTTCTAATTATGAATTAAAATTTGATTTTTTATATGCAAGGAGTGGATGGTGGATGATGGGATGTACTTGGTCACGTTCTATGATTATTAAAACACTCATAACTTCAATTAATCACTATGTCCATCTTCTTTATAAATATTAAATAAATTTAATTCATTATAATGTTTAAAATATTCAATATGTTTATTTTTCCATTCGAAATACCTCAATTTTATTATCATCTACCCTGTCTGGAATATGTTTGAAGTCTAATAAATTACCTCCACGTGGAGCTGACAGAAAAAAAATTCATTTTCTTGTGATCCAACCCGATAACACATGTGAATATTCCTCCCATATTATTCTGCATTATTCAAATATTATTGTGATGATATTGATGTGTTATTGTATTATTATAATGTCAAAAATATTTTCAGAACAATAATATATGATAATGTGGGCTAAAATGAAATTTTATCTCTCCCAATAATATATGATAATGTGGGCTAAAATGAAATTTTCATCTCTCCTAAGTGAGCTCATCTCGTTCTGGACGCCGCTCGGCAGCGCCAACGATTCAAAATTTCTTCATCCTTTAAAGCCCTAACTTATCACTTCTGAGCGACCAGCAGAAGCGCAGAGGTGACAGAGAGTGATCTTTGAGGCCAATGAGAGGACCGAGAACTGGAGCACCGCAGCGACTGACGAGATCACACTTCCAGGCGGCCTCCGGCGACGCTTCTCTTCCGTATTCATCACCGATCCAACCGCTATTGGACTACTCCTCTTCCATCATCAGCGCCGGGCTCCCCCGATGTGTCGAGCCTTTGCAGTAGCCGCCCCTCTTCTGCTAGCGGCCTCCCCGCCTACTCCATCGCCTGCGCCCCCTCGGATCGCGTATCCATTCTACGCGCCGTGAACTCTTACCTCGCTTCCCTCTCTCCGCCCATTCACCTGAAACCCCCACTCCCCCCGGCCCGCAACGTCGCCGAAGCTCTTCGTTGCATCTTCTCCCGCCTAGAGTTCGGCAGCCCTCTATCCGATCTCACCCGTGACCTTCCCCCTCTTCTCGCCGCGCTCCGGTGCCCGGTCAAACTCAGCAAATCCGCCCTCAAAGCCCCTTCTACTCCCCACGCTTGGCCATCCGTTCTCTCCGTTCTTCACTGGCTAGTGCAGCTTGCCCTCGTTGTTGATCACCTTGCCTCCTCCCGCACTTCCCCTCACGTATCTGAGTACGACATCAATCGTTATATCACCCGCACCTATTCTCTCTTCCTTGCCGGCGACGATTGCACTATTGCTGATCTCGATGCCGAGTACCACGACAGGCTCAAACGGCATGCGGATTCCGCGGTTAAAGAGGTTGAAGCCCTCGAGGTTGAAGTTGCTCAGTTCGAGACCAAGGTGCGGGATCTCGCCGCAGCACCGTCACGGCTCGAAGCGCTCGAGGCTGAACGGGCTGCACTTCTGGAGGATGTCAGTAAGTTCCAGAATGTGGTGGATAAGTTTTCTGCCGTGATTGAGGAGAAGAGGGAAAATCTTGCAGAGAGAGAGAGGGAGCTGGAAAAGCGGGAGATGGAGAAGAGGAGGCTGGATGAGGAGAATGGGGAATTGAGACAAAGGATACGGGGGCAGTCAATGAGCACGAGAGATGTGGAGAGGGTGAAGCGGGAATTGCAGGCTGTGGAGAGGGATATTGCAGAGGGGGAGAGTCGGAGGAATGAAATGGAGGAGAAGGCATGGACGCTTAACTCTGAATTCGAGAGGAAGTTTAGGGAAATCGAGGCTTTGGCAGAACAATGCAACCAAGTAAATAGGAAGTAAGTGTTTGTTACTTTTGCTACTTCTCGAGTATTTAATCGACGCCGTTTTAGGTTGATGCTGCGTAATTCGATAAAAAGGTTATATGTCCAACACATTCTGCTTGCTCTGTCTAATGTATTGCATGGAATTCTCTAATGATTTCATCGAGGAACCGTATTTTGTCTATTGATTTCACTGATTTTTCTAACATGTGTCTGGATTAGTCAGTTTTCCCACTTTAGCGCGTCTTTTTTGTATTAATTTCTTAGTTTGTTTTCGCTAAATGCTGTATTTCGATGAAGCGAAGGGAAATAAAACGATTTAACTTCGTGAAATGAACTTCAATCTCTTTTGTCGAGTTATGAGACTACTGCCATTGATTTGTGATTCTCAATTCTTCTTTGATTTTCTTGTGATCAAAATTCTGCATCCAAATAGAGACTAATTTGATACATCTTGAATTTGATTTTTGGCCATTTTCAGATTAAAAATTGGGAATAATGTCCAGCTGGTTCTCAATGCCAAGGCCTCTTCTGCAGCTGAGGTCATTGGAATCGATCACAAAACTAAGTTGAAGCCAGCAATTAGGGCTCTAATGGAGGAGACAAAAAAATCAACGGTTTCAAAAATGGAAGAGCTAATCAATTTGCAAAAACAATCACTTGAGAATGACATGTTGCTCGATGGAAAGAGGGCTTACTACACAGCCATTCAAAATAAAATTAATGAGGTCCGCTCTGCACTTTTGTTTCTTTCTGCATGAAACACAATATACAAAAAGGAGATTCTTCTATTTATGTTCCATGATATAACTGAATTCTAGCAGCTTTAGAGCTTCTCTTTAGTTTGTTTCAATTTCACATAGAAAAAAAAATCTTAAGGGACCAGTATTTTAGGAGCTAACATTTTTCTTGTCAGTATCTAGAAATTTATTGTTCGGGAAATCTTAAACATATATGCATGGGAAATAAATCAGCTCCGATTTATAATTGTTTTATGCTTTATATTGCATTGTTGTCTTGCATTTGTGTTTTGTTGTTTTACATTGAAACAGATGATTATTTGGCAAAAAAATTCTAAAAGTTTTTTGTATGTGTTTTATGACTGTTATTGTTTGGAAAGAAAGGTCGTGCTATGCTGATCTGAATTGTTTGAATGATTGAAGTGAATATTGTTATGATTTTCATTCAATTATAATATATTAACTTAATTTTAATGAATACATGATTAATTAAAAAAAGTATTAACTATTTTAATGGACTAAAACTGATGTTCATAAATGTGTTTTTTGTCATAAAATTCGTTAAACTTTATTGTAAGAAGCTTACTTTTTTTACTTTCATACAGTTGGACTTTTTTTTTTTTTTGTTGTTGAATCAAATATTCAAATATTGCTTAATGAAGCGGTGCGGGTGTAGGGCCTTTAAGATTATGTGGCATGAAGAAGCTTTTCATATATCCATCCTACTGAAAGGTAGTCAATGAGATAAAAAAAACCACTAAAAAGCTTTACCAAATAAAGATTTATAAAGTTGGAATTAGTTTAACTTTTCCTTCTAGTCTCTTATGAGCTGTTTCACATCTAAAGATGACAATTATATATTTAGGGTTTTTGTAGCAAAATTTAAGTAGATTTTTGAATGCATTTAACTAAAATTTTGTTTTTTAAACATTCTTATATCCTACCATATCTATAATCCCATTCGCTCATCTTATTTTTGAATTTAGGATTCCTAAAATCTTATAGGAGGGGTGTAAACGAGCCAGGCTGGAGTGAGCTCAAGCTTGGCTCGTGTTCGAATCTTTTAAAGATAATTTTATTCGTGTTCTACTCGTGTTCTAATCAGCTCGTGAACACTCTGTTTGTGTTCGACTTATTTACTTTTTATTGTTTAGAGTTCATCTTGTTAACTTTTTATTATTCGTTTTCGGCTCGCTAGGATAAAAAAAATATTTTTAAAGTTAATTTTAAAATTTTTTAAAACTTAAAATTTTGCTTGAACAAATATTTGCTTTATTTTTTTTTTCGAGTATGTATTTTAAAATTTCCATTGGTGCACAGCTATATGGCCCCAGGTTAAGTTTAGGCATGCAAATACTTTTGGTAAGAATGAGATGCATAATTTAAAAAGCATGGGTGAAATTTTCTTTTGAAATTAAGCGATCTGGGATTAAAGACGCGGAGGCTGCATTTAGGTGGGATGGGATGCGGCTGGAGGGAAGGCATTTACATACATACCTTGTATTGATCTATTGAGCGTAATTTTTTTTTTTTATAGGTTTTTTGTGGGCGGGATGGTTAAGGAAAGGAGGGAAACGAGCCAAAAATTTTTTTTTAAAACAAACCCGCCAAAAACAATTTTCTCTCGCATTTAAATTCATACCACCTAATTCTTATGTATTTTCATATCCAATACAAGAAAAGTATTTTTCATTTATAATCCTAGCTAAAATTATTTAAAAATTAATAAAATTAAAAAAATTTAAAATATAAAATAGAAAATTTTCAATATAAATATTTTATTTATATTATTTATTTATTATTTATATAATTCGAGCCAAATAAAGCGGAACAAAAACATACAAGTTTTTGTTTGTGTTCAGCTTGTTTATAAATCGAGCTCAAAACGTTTGTTCGTGTTTTGCTCGTTTACTTCACAAAAGAATGGAACACGAGCTACTTACCAAACACGAGTTGTTCATGAACGACGTGCTTTTTTGATATTTCAATATAGGAAGCTGGATTTAATTTTAAAAGTCTATCATACTATCTTCTTTAACATTGTGTTTTCACTCTTTCTTCCACATCTATATCTTCACATACCTCTTTTTAGTCATTCTCCTTGAATCCTTAGCTTTAATTAACCACTCTCGTTTGCTAAGATGTATTACGCTTATATTCAATGCTATTAACTGCATATTTTTGGTGTTGAGCTAGAGCTTTATTTCAATGTGTAGTCTTGATTTTTGTGTTTTACTTTGCTATTTGTGTATTTAATTTTCAGGATTACATACTTGTAATTATGAGAGTCTATACTTTATAAATAGGGGTTATGTTGTTTGGACTGGAGAAGAGTTTTTGATTGGTTGTAATAACCTTTCCCGTATCCTTTCGGGTTAAGAAGTACATTCAACATCTTGGGGTGGCGCTCAGGTGGTGATCACTCGTCTTTTTTTTTTTTCTTCAGTTAATACATTCTTTCTCTTCCTTTGGATTTCAGTCCCACTTTACCTCCTTAGAGTTTTGGAAACTGCATATTTAAGCTATGGCTTTTTACGGTATCATTTGGGTTATTCTTGAGATAATAAAAGTTTATCTATGTTATGATCTGATTACATATTAACTCTATTTTTGTCAATATCACATTTGTTCCCTACTAATTTTTCGCTTTTACCTTATTGCTTCTATATATTTTACCTGCACCCAGTGCTTCGGTGCCTATTCCTACTTTATTGTATGTTCATACTCTGTCCTTTATCCTTGTTTGCCTCCTATTGAAGATGCTCTTTCCAATCCATCTACTGCAGTTGGGATCTGCCTTCATTTGAACTCTAAGATTTCAATTTCCTTATAGCTCTATGAAATGCCTTTGATCTTTCTTTTCCCTTCCATAAATTTCTTTCTTTATGTTTGTTTGACTATATTATCATGATTTATTAAAGTTTTGCCCAATCCTAATTGAAAGCTTGCAATTAACCTTCAAATGACTGCTCCTCTTGATTGCCATTTATGTGACGCCACTTGTTTTTTACTATTAATTTCACTCTTGTTTGATATCTTTACTGCTACAAAGCTTGATTTGTTTTTGAAAGCTAGATATAATCTATGCTCTATGCCATCAACTACTTTAAACCTTTGGCTCCATTATGCTCAATTATGTTCTTTTTCTCTCTTTATTTTTACATTAATTAAATAACGAATTTGCTCCAATGTATGCCAACAATGCTTTCTGTTTGAGGAATTCATCAGTGTTGTTTATTTAGAGCAACCTCTATGGAATGTTTCTTATAGGAAGACTAAAAGCTACAAGTTTTAGAAGGCTATATATGCGTTAATGCAAAGTCTCTGGGCTTAGTTCAACAAATTTTTCAGGATACGTGTTGATATTTGTCTTCATTGTTTATGGTAATGATACTTTTCTTATTAGGAATGATACTTCCAGCTTTAGGGAAATAGAATATTATCTTCAAAATATAAAATTCTGGAATTTTTTCTTGCCATCAAATTTGCATTTAAAAATGGAAGGTATTTTTTTTTCTTGCAAATGAAATTTGTTACAAATTTTCTTGAAGAAACTAGCTTTCTTGGGTGCAGGTAGATCAACTCTTTTTTGGATACTTTGTAATAATTTGAAAATGATTAAAATTTTGAATGCTTGTCACCATCAATGTCTAGTTGCTAAGATTATATATTTGACTGTCAATTGACTTGATGTATCATTTGTTGTTGGTGTGATCAGTGATTATGTATAATCCAAAAGAATTAGAAAACAAATGGATTTTATCATAAGAATCTAGAGATTTATTTGGTAAATTTTTAGAGAAATGTCCAGTTCACTAAATACATAATCATTTAAGGATTGGAGCTAATTTTGACGCGGGTTACATTAGATCTTTGAAGAAATTGAATCCTATTTCTGGATGTTGTGACTTGAGTAGTTGAAATCTCACATCATGGAGAAACAAAAAAAATAGATTGTTATAGCTAGATCGAACATTGAAGTTGACTACAAGGCTATGACTCATATGCTAGCAAAATGATATGCTTTGTGATTATTGGCTTTCTTGTATCCCAGATTATGCTTTCTAATTATGATAATCAAGCAATTATATAGATATTGCTAGCAATTCTGTCTTTTATGAATGAACCATGCATGTTAAAGTGGATTGCAACTTTATCAGAGACGTCTCTTAAAAGAGAATCATTATTCCACGTCTCAAAAATTTGCTTGACATTTTTTCAATGCTTTGGCAACTTTGACATGTTTTTAATCTTTGCAACAAGCTCACATTATTGATATTTAAGATCCAGTTTGAGCGTGAAATGTTATGGTAGAAGTGCTAAATTAGAGAGGGCAATAATAGATTAGATAGTTGATTTGTGACTGTAGTATCCTCCTCATTTCCATCTTTTTTATTTTCTCCATGCTTCTCTAAATAATATATGTAGGTCATGGAATATGAAGAGCTATTTTGCTAAACATATGATTTATGAAAGTAAGGCTCCCAAACCCAATGGAATTTGTATAAATTTGGTCCAACCAAATATCAAACAAGTTCATCTCGAGTTAGATTCATAAGTACTCTCAGTTTTAACCAAACAAATTGCGTTTGTTGGAGGTCAAATTTGCTAGCATTAGAATAATGATTTAAGAAAGAAGAATAATTCCGAGGTAATGGTGGAATTGAGACAAATGAGAGAAAAATGGTGTTGGCTTATGATTCTGAGTCACAAAAATCATTAGAAGAGTAGTTGGATATCCATGCAAATCAGGCTGCTTGATTTTGAAATAAGCTCTTGTCAAAATATTTCAAAAAATTTTGTGATGTGGGATCTTCTAGTGTTGATTAATAATTCATTTACGCTAATCATCAACTCTTTATTGTGTTCATTAATGGGCTTTTTTTGCTGATCAATTAATTTACTTGCTCTGCAATTTTTTGTTTATGATTTATATGATTCTTTGTTTTGATTGGATGGTTTATTTAATCTTTGATTTTCTGCTTCTT